ATAAGTCTGACTTCTTCCTACTCCATTCAAGCATGTACTAGGTATAAGCAAATTGATATTGGATTATGTGTAAAATTATGTGTGTTGTCATATCAACTGTCTTTACATGCTTGAAAGAATAAATCAAATCAAATCAAATCAAATCAAAAATCAAATCAATTTGGTGCATGTGATATTTTAAACACGTCTTTATGAATAAAGGTTTATGTTGTAAATATTGAAAAGGCTATTTAATTAATAGCATTTAAATCTCCATTTTCTCTGCTGTTGCATTTAACCATTAACTCTTCTTCTTCTGTTGCTCTGACTTGCCCTGTTGCAGCTGTGCAGACATGACGAGTAACATCAGCCTGACTCCCTCCTATTTTCAGTTCACTGTGTTTGCAGACTATGGGCCCCTCAGATATATTTCCTTCAGCCTCTCTCTGATAATCTACATGACTATAATCTCTGTTAATCTTGTCATTGTTCTGTCAATCTGCCTGGAGAACTCTCTGCATCAGCCCATATATATTTTCATCTGCTCTCTGTGTTTAAACTCTCTATACGGCTTGTGGATGTCTGATCACACCTCCCTGCTGGAATGTGATCTACACCAGGTGTCTGTGTGTATGTGTGATGTTAATTTGTATGTTAAACTGGCCAAGTGGTCATCTCAGGATGTCGAGCCCTCGGTCTCTGCAGGACATCCCAAGACAAAGCAGAACTTGCAATATGTTAAGTGGGTCTGTGTGTGAATGCAAAACAAGCCGACTTGTCTTTGTTTAAATGTGAATGGGCTATCTGGTCGCGAAGAGGTGCAGGCACCACAGACAGCTGGGGACGATATGTGGGTTGTTAGATATGAGACAATGGTATGAGTTTTATAGATGTGTAATTGTATCACTTTTGGTATAAAAGGGACTGCCCTTTACCAGTCAGATAGAGAACTCTGCGCGACTGCTAAGTTGTGTACGACTTCCCTCCATGCTGCATGAAATAAAAGACGTCTTCGAAGCTACTCCGGGTCTCCAGGCATCTTTATTGGGTCCTGCACGTTTTCCACTACCACAGGCTCGACCAGCTTCTTCCCCAGGTTCCTGATGGACCTTCTGTCCAACACTCATTTCATCTCACGTGTGCTCTGTTTTGTTCAGATGTACGTTACTAACACTTTTGTAGCACATGAGGTGTCTCTTCTCACAGTCATGGCCTATGACAGGTTTGTTGCTATTTGCCAGCCTTTACACTATCACAGTAAAATGACATTTAGGACGGTGCTGCTGCTTTTGATTCTGGCTGTGCTGTACCCTGTATATACTTTAGGCTACTTTTTCTATTTGGCCATCACTTTGCCTTTGCGTGGAAACAAACTGCACAGAGTTTTTTGCAACTGCTGGACTATAATTGACCTCTCCTGTGTGGACACAACTGTAATCCGCATAGTGAGTCAGTCTGTTAGTATGACACTTTTTATGAGCCCGAGTTTTGTCTTGTACACCTACCTGCACATTCTGCTTGTCTGCAGGAGAAGTTCATTTGAATTCAGAGGAAAGGCCTTACAGACCTGCCTGCTCCACATAGTGACCTTTGTGAACTTTTGTATCTCAATATTTTGTGAGTTTTCACTGACTATGTCTAAGGTTGATGAGGTAAATACTATTTTTATTATTGTGTCTCTGGAGTTTCTAATCATTCCTCCCATCATTAATCCTCTAGTTTATGGCCTGAACCTGCCTCAGATCAGAGGAGTGATTTCTGGATTTCTAAACATAGGAAAAACCCTGCATCCTGTGTAATTCAAAGACTCAACAAGCAGAAAGAGAAGTTAATTAAACCTTAATTCTGTCATTCACATTAGGAATTTCTGTGTCATATCAGCTTTACTTTATCTGTACAAACATTATGTTTGTTCACATTTGTTCTTATAAAATCAGAATTCATGTGAAGAAATTCAAACTTAAAATGAAGCACATTGCAACACAATTATTAATATTGATGTTTTAGTGTTTCTCATGGTGTTATGTTGTTTGTTCTCCACTGCTGCTGAAACACTGAAATTTCCCCATTGAGGGATCAATAAAGTACCTACCTACATACCTACTTACCTACTACCTTTATATGCATGGTCCAGCTCACAGCTGATCAGATTAAAACTCATTTATAAACCTTTAGTGTATTTGTTGCTTTTCTGTCTGATTATCAGTCACAAATTATTGCGCATGTCTTAATTTATCTTAACATAAACATTTTGATTAACATTTTAATAAGTGCTGGGCAACGACTAAAATCCTTAATCGCGTTAACTGCATAATTTTCTGTGATTAATCACAAATAACTGCATTGATATGAGCAGCATTCAATAATGAATGTAGTGTATTGCACACTTTTATTTTAAAAGTACTGCTATATGAACACAAGTGCAATAACATTTGGCTTGCAAACACTTAAAACAAATAAGGTGTTCAATTTGTTGTTCAATTCTGCTGCACTACTGTGTTTAAAGTGGCCCACAACCTTTCTGCATTTGGCCAGGACATTGTCAAACGCACTGTTCTGCACAGAAACAGTGACAGAACGATCGAGACTGTGCGCGACGCAGGGGATGTGTTCAAAAGGCAGACGTCTTGCAGCAGCGATCATATTTCTTGCACTATCTGTGCTAAGTGTGTTGACTTTATTTGAAACGTTCCACTGCTGTGCAGCATGCATAAAATGCTCTCTAGACGTTTCAGCAAAATGTCTGTCTTTTGTCTTCATTACAGTTAGAGCATGTGAATGCAGCTCCCACTGTTCATCAATACAATGCACTGTAACTCCAAGATAATTATGGTTACCCAGCAATGTCCAGTAGTCTCCAGTGAGAGCAACAACTGGTGCACAGTGTAACGGCGTTGCTTTTGTAGTCCTCTCCTTTTCATACAGCAGGGGCCTATTTCAAGAAGGCGGTTTTGTCGAAACTCAGAGTTTGTTAACCCCGAAATGAGGGCAACTCGGAGTTTTCGGTTTCAGAAACGGAGGTAACTTAAACCCGTGAAGCGGGGTAAGTTAAACCCGTTTCACAAAGAGAGGTAATCTAAACTCAGAGTCAGTTACTATGGCAACTTACTCTGTGAACCTAACCTGCTGGCGAGCAGGTTTTGTTCGGGAAACTCAGAGTTTCCTCCGGGTCTCCGCCCCTTTTTAAAGTGAAAGGTGTTTAATACCTCATTGAATCTTTCAGTACATTCATAGATTGCACACGTTTCCGTCACGCAGAGACCAAAATGGCGTGTCCATTCATAGAGG